TTTTAAAATTTAGATTTAGAAAATAGCATTTTACGATTATATTTAACATTGAATTGTTTCACATATGTGGAGAACGTGAGCAGAATAGTTGAAACACACAAAGCTGTGAGTGGATGTTTGGACACTTGACGCCCCACACTTCGCAGAGGTCGGAGCCAGTGACGCAGCTGCGTCACAAACAAATACTGAGAGAAATGAGCGTGAAGCGGAGCAGCCTCTGATTCTACACAACACGAAATCACTTCCATCACACAGGAGGCGTCGGGATCTTACCAGAGAGCAGCTCCTCAGATCACACGGCCTCCGCAAAAATTACCCAAAGTGAGGGAGACGTCTAACCGCGCGCACGAGCCAAACCCCAGTCTGAGCCTGTCTGTTCTGCGTCACGCGCACCGATGTGTGTGCTGTGTTGTCTCTGGAGCGCGTGCAGTCTTCACAGAGTCAGGAACATGGAAACAACATGTGTCTGTTTACCTGTCAACTCCACAGCAGCGTTCTGCAGCGCGTCCTTTTAAAGCCGAGAGCGACTCTGATGGAATATTCCACCGGATGTGACGTTGCTGTTCTTCCACAACACTTGTTGGTGGGGTTTTTGTTTTAGTTTTTTTTTTTTTTTTTTGTAGGCTGCCGCTTTGTTCCGGAAAGATTTCCACACACAGAGTTAGAGATTTTAACTGAGATGATTGAATTCATTCACGTGTTTGTGATGAAACCACACATCAGATCAAGTCAACAGGGAAACAACAGAGAGCTTTGATGTTTGCCACTTCAAACACTTTTCTTTAAAGAACACATGATGCATTTTATTTTTGAACTCAACATGAAAAAGAATCCGTTTGTTTTATTCTGTTTATTCAAGTTGTTTGTATTTTATTTTGTTACAGTGGAAGTTGTTTGGGGCTCTATCCCTGTTCATGATTTCAGCTTAAGATTGACCTTGAGCAGAGAATTCATTTTTAAATGAGCATTTGCACTTGAATAGAAATGTAAAAATACATGAGCCATTAAATCTTAGGTTATATATATATACAGTATATATCAAAGCTCACATCTTTATTTTGGTACTAGTATGTTTTACTGTGTATTCCTCCTGTCACAATGGTATAAATGTAAAAATCATCTAAATATTATTAGGACTGAAGTTGTAAGATCAGAAAAGAAATATGCCTGAGAGGATTTTATTACATTTTAAAATGTGTTTCATCTACAAATAAAGATTTGTCCACATCATCATGTGATGTTTACAGTAATCATGTTAATTCTTGCGTTTCTTGTTGTAACCAATAGGTGTTGACCTACTAGCTGCTGATTTCCAGGTTTTATTCCAAAACATTTCTGCTCAGTCAAGTCTGGATGTGAAAAAGTAATTTTACATGTTCGACGTCCATGCAGGCATGTGAGCTCTGAAATAAAAATACTTCACAGACTAAATATATTTTCTTTACCACAAGTTTATCTAGTAACCTGAATTAGTAAAAGAAAAATATATATGAGGAATCCTTCAAGAAAAGATGATTTGAAAATCTTCCATCTGTTACTACACATCCTCCACCGACACTAAATGCATCATTAGACATGATCTGTGCAGAAACTCATCGGGCATGTGAGGCGGACCTTGTAGTCTTGACAACGTTTCCCATCAGGCTGCTCAGCGTTCACACAGGAAAAACCACGAGTGGCATCATACCTGCAAAATATATAACATGTGATCTGTTAAAGGGACATTTACACACGTTCATTTGACTCGTAAGACTTTAAATGTATGTTTGTCATGAGTTTACCAGCTGCCAGGAGCAGGTTAGCTTAGTTTAGCATGAAGATTAGAAACTGTTGACCATTAATCTCCTTATTTAACTGTCAAGAAAATTATTAACCTTTGGCCATTTCTTCAAAAAGTAAAAATAAAACAAAATGAATTAAAATAAAATGAATCAAGGTATTTCTAACAGCTCAGGGTTGTGATGCAATACTTCAATCACAATTTATTTGTATAATCAAGGTCACAAATTTGTCTCATAGGGTTTAAGATGCAACATCCTCTGTTCTTAATCCTCAACAGCAAAAACGTATAAACCGCAGAGAGAGTCTCATGTGAGGGATCTCTCTCTCTCCCAGGACGGACAGAAGTGCAATAGATGCTGCGTTACTGAACACGTCAACACAATAACAGTGTTGATACATAAGAAAATGTCTGATAGAGATGAAGGCAGCAGCAGTGACAAATGAACTGAGACGTTATTGTCAGTGATGATAGAATATGTGAGGAGACACATTGTATATCAAGTAAGTTAATCATTGTCCACCGTCAGTCCCACCACTCACACTTGAAGGACGTCCCCCGTCTCGTGTGCAGGGACATCAGACAGCGTCATGGCTTCGATGGCCACTGTCTGGTTGCACACCTCACTGGGATAGAGCATCTGCAGCTGGAGGAGTGTCTCGTAGTCTCCTTTCCCCGTGGGATTGTCCACGTCGAACCAGCGCGTCCTGCAACCTGATAAACAACACAGACAGACATCGTCTGATTCAGACGTATTCGTAGGTTGTGATGTTTTGTTCTTCATGACTTCTATGAGGCCAGGGAAGCAGAAGGTCTTACATTACGTCTCAGATCTTTGCAGTGTCTCACAGAAAGGACAGACACTGATTTATATATACATCTCTGTCCATTGGTCTCTTAGGTCCTCAGGGATCAGTCTCCAAAATGTTCTTATAAACAAAACTGTATTCGTATAATCCTATGTATAAAAAAATCATGTTATGGTGAGAATCCTTTTTCAAAGTAAGGACTCACCAACTGAATAATTAGTTACCAACGCAAAATAACAAGTTGTTATCTCAAAATAATGAATTATTACCTCAAATAACAAGTTATTAACCAGAAAATATTGATTTACTCTCTCAAATAATGAATTATTAACTCAAATAATGATTTACTACCTCAAAATGATCACTTGCTATTTCAAAATAACGACTTGGTATCTCACTTGTTTGACTTTTTAATCTAATAAATCTGAAATCTCTTTTTAAAATCCTGAACCGACTTATCGCAGCTGCATGAGGACTCACCCTGACAGAAGTCCGGAGGACAGGTCAGCACCACCTGATAATCCTCACATTGTTTACTCCTCTGTTTGTCGTTGATGCACACGAACCCAAACGTTACGTCGTAGCTGAAACATGAAGAAGAACCGAACGAAGGATTCGTCGTGAAGAAGCCGCTCGACTGAAACGGAGTCACATCTGAACGTGTGTTTGATTTCAAAACAACATGCGTACGACAGGAAGGTGTCTCCGGTGTGATGGGCGGAAATCCCTCTCGTGGTTTGGGCCTCGATGCTGATTGGGTTCTTACACACTTGACCTGGGAAGGTTTTCAGCAGCTGAGGCATGGACTCAACATCCCCAACGTCTGATGGGTCGTCACTGTTCAGCCACTGTGTTCGACACCGCTGCGACACTGAGCACGAGACACACACGGAGGCTGGAGGTCAGAGGGAGGTTCGGGCTGGAGGTGGCTCAGGTGAGCACATTTGTATTTTGTCTCAATAAAATCACTTCATGGGGAAATGGTGTTGTCTGGTCGTGAGATGGGAGACACATGGTGGAAGGGAACTTTTCCTCGGGGCCCAAACAATATAAAATATACAGAACGTCAAGTTGAGTCTGGTTGAAATGAGTTTTGATCATCCTACAGAAAATGATCATCCATTTTCTATTAACACTCAATTACCAGCGGTAAACATTTGTAAAATAGCTCTGAACATCAGTTCATACCTTCACAGAACTCCTCCGGACACGTGAACCTGACTTTGTAATCCTCACAACTCCTGCTCCCCTGATCTGCATTTACGCAGGCGAACCCGTAGGTGGCGTCGTAACTGCAAGAAACACAGGAGAAGGCAGTGACAGGTGAGAACAACGTGTCGCCATCGCTCTGGATGTTTGTTGTTAATTCTCACTTTAAGAGAGTGTCAGTCGTGTTGGAGGCCGGTTCCCCAGAGACGGTCTGGACCTCGATGGCGATCGGCTGCCGGCAGATTTCTCTGGGGTAGATTCTGAGAAGGTCACTGAGGACCTCATAGTCTCCGTTTCCTGTTGGGTCATCATGGTCGAACCAGCGCGTCCTGCACTCTGTAACCAGGGAGGGATGGTGTTAGGGTACTGATTTTCAAAAAAAGGCTCAAACTTTCCTACTTGTCCGTTAAAAGAACCTGAGCAGAAGCGTCCGGTGCAGGTGAACTTGACCTTGTAGTCCTCACACTGTTTCCACGTCTGTTCTGAGTTGAGGCATAAAAGACCCCGTGATGCACTGAAACTGCAAAACACAAGCATCACATCTGGATGTTACAAATAAAGGTCTCACATTTCAGCCGTTAAAGTTCAGTCAGCGACAAACACAAGTGATATTTAGGGTTTGAACACAGTAAATCAGGATCATGAACCTCCAGTCATAGTATTTCACTGTCAACTCGTATGTTTACATGTGGAAGTTGTCCCCCGTGTGCTGGGACTTGAGTCCAGACACGGTCTCGGCCTCCATGTCCACTGGACCGGAGCAGATCCGTGTCCGGTGCCTCCTTCTCAGGTCAGCCAAGAGCTCGGAGTCCCCGTCTCTGGAAACGTCCCCTTCGTCGAACCAGGCTGTCTCACAGGCTGGAGGAGAGAGGACGGAGAGAGGACGGAGAGAGGGTGTGAACGACCTGTCTGACGTTGTTTTGTCATTTGTTAAAAAAAAAATAATAATAATAAATTGATGCAGGACTTACTTTCCAGAGCCGTGAGGAATAAGTGGAGGTCTGGAGGAAGAAGAAGGAATCATCTTAAAACTGATTTTTTTTTTTATGAAAATAATAAAATAATGAATTAACTTTTTTTTCTTTTTTTTTTCTTACCTGATAGTAGAAGACACCAGGTTGCAAAACTCTAAAGTAAAACAACGCAACGGAAAACAATCAAACCACAAAGATTCACAGTTACGAGATGAGATGAGTGAAACTAACTGAAAATGCACAAAAAGCAAATTACCTGTGGGAGCAACATGATGCTCTGTCTGGAGATACTGAGCAGAGAAAATACAATCAAAACATACAGAAATATGTGTTTTTAAGTGCCTCATTAAATTAGAAATACATTTTAATTTCCTTAAATTTTTACTCACAGATAAAATGTGAAGAGGACGTGTCTGTGGAGGAGTGAAGCGTGTGTGGGTTTAACATGGGACGGACAGAGGCATGTCCTGCTCCTCCTCTTCATCACTTTTACGTTTGACATCCCACCCATGGGGATCTTGTGTGTGTGTGTGTGTGTGTGTGTGTGTGTGTGTGTGTGTGTGTGTGTGTGTGTGTGTGTGTGTGTGTGTGTGTGTGTGTGTGTGTGTGTGTGTGTGTGTGTGTGTTCCTGCTCCTCCCACAGCCTTCAGCCTTACCCATGATCCTCAGTAAACTGTGATGAAGAAAAACGTTGTTCTAAACTCTGAGCTTCACTGTTTTCTCATGAATAATGAAAAGTCTCTGTATCAGAGATTCATGCATTATTCAGACTCTACGCAGGAAGAGGTGACATTGAATCATACATCTTTTTAAATTCAAGCTGAAAAGGAAAAATAATTAACTGTGATATGTAATATCATTACATTTTTAAAAGTAACATGTTTATTAACATCCTGTAAAACAAGTGTTTAATGAGGTAATACTGTTTACTAGAAGTATTTGTTTATTAATATTCATGTATTCTTTCGCTTATGTTAATATTAAAGAATATTATAATAAAAACAAGCAACATTTTTGCATTGGTGCAACATTTTGCTCTTTCTGGAAACTCTCAGCTCCAATTTCATCACAGAAAAACTCTCTGGGAAAACACAAAGTGATGTTTCTTTAGTGAAAAGACAGAATTTTAAAGAGTCTCACTCAGTTTGATGCGCTCAGAGTTTTCTACACGAGGAAGTTTACTGATAATCATGACAGTGACAGAAATCTGATCCGTTGCTATGAGACAGAACTAAAGAAATATGAACCTGTATTTAACCCAATGATTCAATCTTTGTCGATGCATCTTCACCTGGTTCTAACTATGAGAGTATTATTAATAAAAACATATTCAATGATCCAGTTCAAGTCTGTGGTGCTTGAACGCGTGACGTAGAAACTGGTGAAAGTCAAGACGTTGTCACTTCACAGTTTGAGGGGTTGAACCACGACCTCTGAGGCCCAGAGGGAAAGATGATATTACACTTCCTGTGTGAGTTTGACAACCGTGATTATGAATACGAATAATCAGCTCAGTCCAGTGTTTGGAGAAATATAATAATAATAATTCAAATAAATGCTTTTATTGTTTTCTGATTCCAGACTCCTGCTCCTTTCTTTTGCTCTGAGCAGATATAAACACTGTTGAGTTTCTATAGATAACAAGTAAGTTATCTGAGCGTCCTCGTGCCTGTTTACTGTCGCTGGAGGCAGGAGGTGTAAAATAACCAGGATTAGTGTCGAGTGACTGTTGTCTGCACAACACCGTGACGGAGCACATGGCCGAGGAGGAGCTGCACACCTGAGACGTGACAAAAGACTTTCAAACTGACGGTCTTAATAGTTTCATGAGGATTATATTTATATCGGATCTTATACTGTGAATGATTCTTGTGAATTAAAGCAGGAGGGACTTTGTGTGTGTTGTGGAAAGAAGGTGAATGAGGTTTCGTGCAGAGACGCTGTGGTTTCCTGTAGTTAAAGTTGTGTTTTATGTGATATTTGGAAAGATGGACATCTGGGCAGCCTCTAACTGGATTTGATGGATCAGGGGATTTGACTTTATTCTCTTTATTTCAATTTCATTCTCATAGTCAAACACAAAGACACAAACTTTTAATCCTTAATATGGGTCGAGCTCTGCTAACACTGGATCCTACACTTCCCATAATGCCATAGGGTAGAATCTTACCCTCTCTTGTCCTACATACATTTCAAACTCCATGTTTAAAACATAAACTTCTTTCTGGTAATAAAAAACAAAACACTTACCTGAGATAAATCTGTTTTTTTTTTAGACTTCAGGAATTTTCCTCCAGTGTCATTAAACATTAAAAGTTTCCCCTAAATTAGCTCAAATGTAAAATAATCATGTAATATAATAAAACACATTTTAATGAGAAAGTGAATTATAATATTTTATAACAGTTTCTTAAGAGGTTAATCATTTATTCTGTAATATGATTTAAAAAAAAAAGATGCATTGAATATATTAAATAATCAAACAAACCCTGTGAATCATGGTCATGTGAAGTGAATTAACTTTTTAAAATCTTTTACAAATAAAAAGTAAAGTAGATGACGACACTGGACTAAAACTGCAGACACACTATGGATCAGATTTTGAATCCCTCATAATATAATGTGACATTTTCTTACATCCATGAAAACTGAGCCTCCTCCTGTTGTTAAACATTCTGTCAATAATAATGTACAGATAATGGATCCAGCCCCAAACCCCCCCGGCACTGAAATCATCTGGTTACACAACTGCTCCTGAAGGTATTAAACTATTTTAGTTCACTTCTATTTCCACGTCTTTTGAATCCTGATGTTGATTCTGCGACACCTGATGTTTTTCCACTTGAAGTCCTCAAATAAAACTGAAGTATATAACTTGCTTCTGTCTTTATGTCTCTCACTGGAACATGAATTCTTTATATTATTATTTATCCATAAGGAGACAGACTCTGTAAGAGGAGATCACTGCAGCCGAGGGGCAGATTTATTTTAGAAACCTTGGGTGTGACCTCCACAAGGGAAACACCAGGTCTTAACTTTCCAAAGGAGAAAGTGTAATCTTCCTACGACTTAGGAACAATATGTGATTCTATACATCTAAACTGACGTATAGAATCCCCCCCCCCCCGGCAAAGCAAAGTGATACAGTGGTGAGAAAAGAAAAACTCACACGAGATTAAAAATAGCACATGAATTTTGTTTTTAATTAAGAAACACCAAAGGGCGAGGGGAGTGTCTGTTTCAACACTGGAAATGGAACAGTCAGGTCGTCCTGACACGGACAATATCTCATCTGGTACATGTTTCATTCATTTAACCGTTATTCACTTGCCATCGTTACTAAAAGTGCAACTTTCGTATCTTGGCGATGGCGTCAAAACAAAAAAAAGTGGTGGTGGCAGATTCTTGACAACTTTGACATCATCAGTGCTTCCGAGAAGATCCAGTTCAAGAGCAGATACACAGAAGATGTCGTCACGGACCAGACGATTTTTTTTAGTCCACGTGTTCACGACGACATCATCCTGTGTAAATAAATAACCCATTCATCGTATCTGGAGCCTAAGACTTTTCTTTCTTTTTCTCACTGACTGAATAATAAGACCGGTTCGTGCAGCTCCACTCAGGTAAAGACAATGTTAAACTTTTTAATCATGGAACTTCATGGGGGGCAATATTCATAACATGTGAGGGGGGGAGAAAAACAAGGGAGGGGGTGTGGGAGGCAATACACAAAAAAAAACCGGAGGAAAGAGAAGAGCAAGCGTCTGTGATTGTTCTACGACAGCAGATCAAAACAAAAGCAATGAAAGAGAGAAGAGAAACACAAAATAAATAAAAATGAAGCGACTCTAGGTGGAAGGATGGTGCTCACTTTTAGGATATTGATACAAATATTTTGAAGCTTACAAAAAAAAGAGAAGAAGAATAAAATGTGTGTGAACCCCAAAGTGATCACGCCGCCGTAGTTGCGGTCGGCTGGAGGCGGGCGAGCACGCGTCGCCAGAGCTACACTACTGGTCGCAGCATTTACAGGAGGCTTCCATTTCACCTCAGGGTTTTTAGAGCCTGGAAATGAAGTCGCATCCTGAGGCAGTTCTGAGTCGACCCTCCTGAGGATACGGATGATGACACAAACACACTCATTCTACTCGACTTTGCACATAAAACAATATCTTCAACAGCCACACATAAAAAAATTACAACCTTTTTTCTTTTTTGAGATCTACTCAATCGCGTGAGGCCTCGGAGGCCACGAACCAGTTCCATGTCGTCACAGAATCAACATCAAATGCCATGCGTGCTAACGAACTGACAGGAGCTTCCTCAATGTAAGTCGCTAAAAAATGAAAACACGTCTATGTGTGTCAGACCGGCAGCCGCATGAGTACGTGCTGCGTCTTCACGTCCGACATTAGCACCAAGGTTTCGTCCTTTCTTTTATTTAAAATTTGAAAAAAAAGAACGAACAGACACAGCCGAGAACGAGCAAAAGAAACTCAGATGAAGCAGCAGCACTTGTAATGTTTGCAGGTATTTGTTTGTGTTTGACAACCTGAGTTGTGAACTGAAGCTGTGACTGTGCGCGCTCTTCTCCCAAAAAACTGTTAGCATGCTCGCACGCGTGTGGAAAAAAGAAAGAGTTCCTCTACAGAAGTGAAGAAAGAAGACCTAAACGCCTCCAAGTATTAATACAGTTATAGGCCTGTACTACGGACTCATAGTATTAGAACCCAGAATGAACTCTGGGAAAGTTGAAGAGCAGTTATGGTTAGTTTGCATGTTTTCCCCCACAAATATAATATA